AAAAAAAAAATTAAAAAATCAAAAAAAAAAAAAAAAAAAAAGTAAAGAAGCCACAGATACCTTTCTGCTTTAACTGTCCCAAGACTCTTCTGAAGAGGTCATAATTTATCACTCCTCAGACCAAAGATGAAATACCAGGTTACCAGGTGTGCTAGTTCACCTTTAATGAAGCTACAGCACTAACTATATACTAAAAAWCTAAAAAGAATAAAAAAGCCACACCCTGCATGAGCTAATGTTTATTTTAGCAGGCCATTCCAGAATTCTAGCATTTAGCACACATTAAGAGTGCCTTTTTAGCACTTGCATTGATCAATGAATGAGTATTTAAATCACTGCCCATCCAGGTAACTCTCCCACCTTCTTTATTTTAATTTTTGTTTGTTTGTGGGCTTTTTGTTTCTTTCACAAGAACTACTGATGGAAAATTAAAAAGGAAATAAAGAGTTTACAAGATTGCCGGTCAGGTTTTGTTAATTTTGGAAACACTGTTTGGTGACTTAATAGACGTGCTAAAGAATTGCCAYTGTGTCCATTCTCAAGACACATGGCCCTAATTTAGAGACACTCAGGTTAATGGCAGGCTATCAACTTAAATGGTCTTTGCATCAAGTATCATCAATTAGTAGCCTATCCCAATCCAATCCACCCCTTACAAACTCAGTACATTAGCAGAGAGAAGTGGAAAGGGCAGCCAGCCTCTTGAATTTGTACAAACCGAGACCAAACCAATACAAATGGGTATCTAAACAGAGCCATCCCTATAGATGCTATACTTTGCAAGACTTTTCACGGAGTGCCTGGTAATTTATCTTTCCAAAGGCAAGTTTTTGTACGTAGGTCTAACACAAAGAATGTACACACAAGATTTGTGACCAAAGCTGTTCACACCCAAATGTACACACTTATTTTTCATGAATTTCAGACCAATCTTATAGGCAAGAGAGGTGTCATATTTTGACCCTTAGTTTTTAAACTGTACTTCTTACTTTAAACTCTTATCCCTCTTTTCTGTCATACATCCACATTATCTTGCTTCATCTCTTTGACTGATACCTCATAGATGCATGTGCATAGCCACATGCAAAAGTAATAAATAAAGCTATTAGCACTCTGAAGAAGCTACTAAATTGAAAATGGTAGGCCACAGAGAAAAATATTACCTCAGAATTACATTTGCAAAAGACAAAACAAAAAGGGTTTCTTTTAGAGTACTAAACCTGAGATTAAAAAATTTCAGTTACAGGAAAAACTAAGATTGAGATCAAACCTAATGAAAATCACAGGAAAATTGCACCACCACTGCCTATGGCAGACATCTGCATATTCTGACTGGTTGTTAATGGAATTACTGTAATAAATAAAGGGTGTTGGGCAAAATCAGTAACCATCCAAGTTTGTATTGGCATATGGGTTGTACCTTAGAAAAAAGCAAAACAAGCCAAAATGTCACTGCAAATCACAAACACTGTTAACCATAGTAGCAACAGAAAATTTTGATTTTAAATAAACTCAAAAAAAATCCTGATTAAAAAGCTCAATAGAACATCTCTCTGACCTTTGCTGCAATTTTTAAGGCAGAAATGGCTTTATCTTCATAAGTTGGAGGAGAAAAGAATGACAAGTTCTGTTTGAAACAAGAATTAATTACAACAGGTAGAACAAGGAATATTTTGTGGCTTAACTCACTGTCTCACATATCAGGTTACTTTTCCAGTATGTTTATTTTCACCAGTAGTCTGACCAAGCTATTTGACTTTATCAGAGGCTTACATGACTTACTGTCATAATATACTATGATGTATCAGATTTGTTCACTTATTTTATCTTCAGCTTTCATTCATAACTGATTGACCTGCAGAAAGCAAGCCTGCCCCAGCTATCTTCTAATCAAAACACGGTGTTCATCTGTTAATCCATGACAGCAATTATAGATCTGTTGTATCAGCTGTTTTATTCATGCAACCCAACTACACATATGTTTTTACAATATAATCAGCAGAAATATTGCAGAATTATAGCAAGTCAAGTTTGTTACATCAGAATTAATAACATATACCCCAGTATTTCCAACACTTCACAAAGCCACACCTGAAAAGCAAACAGAACTTAATCATTCTTTAACAGCAACTAATTTGTCCTTTTAAATTAGGGACCTGGAGGTGGTAAGGAAAAAGCATCACTAGCATTCCTTCCTTCTAAATCAGATTTCCCAGAAATACAGTCTTAAGAGCCATGCAGACATACCATTTATCTTTACATACTTAAAGGGAGCCATTAGGCTGAATCTTGAATCACTGACAGGTTGGGTGGGTAGGGAAGGTGATTTCAGGTGTTTAAGTTTAAATGAGAAAGAGGGGCTCTATAATAAAAAGCAATGAGCACAGTCTTACTCCAACTAAGAAAGCACTTTCCTTTAGTATGTTTGCAAAAACATCACAAAAATTAAATGGAGCTTAATAGGAAAGATATTGAAGCAAGCTTTACTTCTCTAATTGCCATCAAAACCACTGGAAGAGGCAGCAACATCCAAAGAAGAAGGGAAAAAAAAAAAAAAAAAAGAGTACTTTTTAGGAATCTGCATGTAGCACAATTTCCAGTCCTAGATAGCTCAGAGGAATAAATACCTCCTCTTTTCATGTTATTTGAAAAGTGACCACGGCAGTGGAAAAAAAAATAAAAAGCTTTTAAGTATCGTTTGTTATATGAAATTATAGCAAGATCACAATTAAATGAAAGTACTTAGAAATKAAATATCTGTATTTAATCACTGATCTTGACATAGTTTTTCTACAATACTTAACACTGTCTCAGAACACAATTAATGAAGAAGTTTGTCACCTCTCACTCCTGCAGAGTAATCCCCCTAGGTCAGGTGTTAGGTCATAACATTACCAGAATTAGGGCATAAAATCCACTAACCAATAAATCTCTACAACCAGAAATGTTTTAAATGAAAGTCCACAAATACATACTACTATCATTTCAAGGGGAACTCAGCTAGGGTTGTAGCTTGTTTGTAGCTGCAGTGTATTACTCAGGACTGGTACTTATGGATTCACCATATTGATATAGAAATTTCAAGGAGTCACACTGCTTCTTTTAAAGAACTAACTAAACTGGCATTCTTTCTTTTTCTAAGATACCCAAGGAAACAAAGGGAAGCATTACCTACAAATGGAGCATACCACCTTACTTAGCAGTACTCGAACACCTAAACCAAAAATGAAACCTTTGTTTTTCAGCAGATAATTATTCTACTCATTCAGAAAAAAAAGCAAGGAGAAAACGGGATAAGATGCTCAGGATGTGCTCCCCGCAATTAAATTTTAGGTTCCTGAATGTCTTTTTAAAAAAAGCTTCTATTAACTATATCACATACAGATTTGCTCTCTTACTATTGCAAATAATTTACACCTGATGTACTTTTTAAGAGGTAAAGAAAGCCAATCATATATTTTAGGAGAAAATGTAACAGACTTCTTCAAGTAGGCAACAATTACAACATTTGCTACATATTTTCATTAAATTAAATGGGAGAGACAGTCTCTGGAAAGTTTGAAAAATTACTCAATGGAGAAGTTTAGAGATGCTATTAAAAACAAAAATTCTCAAGTGTCACTAAAATGCAGCATCATTTGGATTCTCAAAGCAACAGCTCTAACAGCCTAAGAGGTAAACGGGTGATGTTACCACACAACTTCAAGCTGCTACTTCACTTCTCTATTGGCATTCTAAACATTTATTTTCATTAACTAAAACACAAACATSACTTTTTCGTATCCATAAGAGCAAAAATATCACTTCACTGTATTCAAATAAGATGAACCTACATAAAAAGTTACTTTATCAAAAATTTACTTTGGTTTCTCTTTTGTAATAAGTAATAAATATTCCCTTAAGGTAATAATACAAAGGATCTGCTTTAAAATTGCACTTATTCCCTATTATAGTCTTGGCTTCTGACACAGCTATTAGGTGGACCCCACTGAAACCACAAAACATACGCAACATGTAAATACAGTTACTTGTTTTCCAGAGCACAGATAAAGTTTCAACATGAGAAAATCCCATTTTTCAAATCTTTGAGAGCTACACACTACAAGAAAATTGTATTAAACTCACATTTTCTTTAAGTACTGCATTAAAAATAACACGTCCTTGAGTCAGGAGTATTTGACTATTTGGCATTTTATAGATGTGTTTTCTCCTTCCATAGAGGGACTATAAAATTCTTCAACTGAATACATAGGTTTGAGTTTCTCAAACAAAACCAACACAGTCATTTATTTTTAAGATAACAAATACACAACTTTCATGTTAGTATATAGCTACCGATACTCAACACTTCACTGTACTGGGACTAATAGTCTAAGACCTATGAGGAAAGCTATGGTTAAAGTTAGCAAAATGTGCTAYAGAGATCAAAAGAGCACATCTCTAACTGATCTGAATATCTTATGAGGACATGCACAAATGAAAGGATATAATATGTTGAGAACATGAAGACATGCTGAAATATCAAGACCCAGTTAGATGAACATCGTGTATCTCGGATGCATCCTACCTGATCCACTGAACTGGCTGCTTCCTAGCGTAGTTGGTCTGGTTTTTCCACTATTAACAGGTGGGGAAAACATCTGCAAAACAAGAAAAAAAAAAGACATGTTTGAGTTAACTTTGAAAGTTTGTGCTGAATTATTAATATAAACAGAAAAAAAAGGATAATAGGAAACTTTTTTTTCTATTTTCTGCTTGAAAATAAACAGAATGCAAGATGCGTGCTTAGACACAAAACCAACAAGCTGAAGTACTCTGTGCAATTTATTAATAGGACYAAAATCTCCCTTCTACATGACTACAACTTAAAATTAAGTGGACATCTACTACCTATATGACAATTTCAAATAGTTGTACACCTTAAATTTTCCTACTCAAATTACATTTCTTACTAATCTGCAAGTGTAAAGTCATTGCTTAAAGTCAGCATTTAAGAGGTAGTAATTTTAGATTATGTTTATAAATCAAGAGCCTTTTGGTATGTTAAAAGTAGCATACACAAAGTTTCTACAATTTTTCTAAGCCAAGGCCATCAATTAATAACTTCTGTTATTTGCGGGCAATAATTGGTCTTTTGTTTAAATAGGGAAAAAAACCCAAGAGCCTAAGTACCAGTGCCACACGCCAGCTTAACCAACGTTAATTATTAGATTATGCCATCAGTGGGTCAGCCTGATTTTAACCAGTTAAACCAATTGACCCAGCTGGTATTACAGTATTAAATCTGGAAGTCTAGACATTACATCAAAGTTCAGGTGTCCAACTTGGCTGAGGCAAATCCAGCCAAGCCCTGCACGCTGCTGCCCCTGCTCCTCCGTTCACATGACCACGAAGTCATGAGAAGCCCTCGGAGAATATCCTACCGCACTGAAGTCCAGCAAGTCGCTCAATTCCTTGTCAGTTCCTATAGCGGCCATCCTCTGCTGCTGGGAATTCATCTTCCTCCGCTCCTCCGATCACCTTTCTAGGGCACAGGGAGAGAGGCACAGGCAGCACTTCACGGCGGGAACCCGGCCCCTGGCGGAGAGAGGCCTCTGGTACCTGCACCCCTAGGGCGGGGTGGAGACTCCCGGGGGAGCCTCGCTGGCCGGGCGGGCTCAGAGAATCGGCGGCAGCAGCAGCTTCCCCGAACTAACCAACTCTCTTCAAGTTTCCTCAAGCTCCCTTTTCTCCCACATTCCACTTCTCCCCCAACCTCGAGCAAGGCACGATCACGTCGCAAAGGGCCGCCGCCAGGAATTAAGTCCCCCCCCGGGCAAGCGAAAGCAAATAAACAGCCGCGGCCCGGCGAGGTCCGGAGAATTAGCGAGAGATTAAGTGACTCACTGTCCCCGCAACAATGGGGCTGACGAGCGGGGCCGGACGAGCCTCAGCAGAGCCATCCCTGCCCCGGCATTATCGCCCACCGCCGGTGCCGGCTCCCCCTCCCCCTCTCTCCCGACCCACCCACCAGGGGCCGCGGCCGCCGCTCCTC